TTATTATATGGTAGTTTTTTATTCTATTTTATTAATTTCATATATATATATATATATATATATATATATATATACATACATTTAAATTCAAAAATATTACCAATAACTAATTATGCCATGTGGCATTTTTTTAGGTTGCCACTTGGCTTAAGGAGAGGACTTTTTCCACTCCTTTTAATAATATATAGATATATAGATATAGATTCTATTGTTCTTATTGACATTATCCAAATTTTAATAAACAAAATCTCTGTTGAACTTACGGGACTTATACAGGGAGCGCACTGAATAACTTTTTTGTTATGTATTTATCTTTACTATATGATAGTTTTTTATTTTATTTTATTAATTTTGTTTTTTATATATTTTTAAATTCAAAAATAATAACCAATAACTAATTATGCCATGTGGCATTTTTTTTAGGTTGCCACTTGGCTTAAGGAGAGAGCTTATTCCTCTTCTTTAATAATATATAGATATCCAAATTTTAATAAATAAAATCTCTGTTGAACTAACGGGACTTATACACGGAGCGCACTGAATAACTTTTTTGTTAGGTATTTCTCTTTATTACTTCCGCATTTAATTCTCCTGCTTTATTTATTATCTGTCAAATTAGAAGCTGTTAAATTCCTGTTATGTTACCTTGACTAGCTCCGACAGTAGGCGTCATCACGACTCCCGATTGTGAAAAATCCGAGTCGTGACATATATAGTTTTGGCTATATGGAAACATAATCTTTCTCTCTTCAGGCTGCTGTGTATTTCAATAAAATTCAGCTCTAACATAGGTATGATTAAGCCTTTTTACCGAGTATCAAGTAAAAATTACAAAAGAAAAGGTGTCAACATTTCTATATATTATTATTAATTGATCATAATTTGTAGCAATATAATCAATTTCAAAGAGCAACTCGGATTAGTCAATAAAAATAAGAAAACACTACCAATAAAATAGGAGACTTTCTGCACTGCAGATCATGATATAAAAGTACTTCATATCTGTAGTCTTATCCATTTGACCAATAGCATATAACTATACAGATTGAATACATAATAACATAAAAAGATTTGCATCTTAGAGCACATAAAGTGATCCATCAATATAAGCGCAAGTAATATTCTCTGTTCCTTATTTTGTGTACACATTACCTGTCATCAAAATTACAATAATCATGTCAAGCAGTTATCCATGAGGATCACATGCACTGATTGACACGATAATAAAAGGAATTACCAGAATATGACTATTTGGCTAATTCACTCTTATACCACTCAGTCTATAGCTTTGTATTGTTTCAGTTACTTCTAGCTTAACTAAGAAGAGTGTCTTTGATAAATGAAAAGTACTCAAAGTTTTATCAGTGTCTTTGATAAATGAAAAGTACTCAAAGTTTTATCACTGTAATATATTTTTGCAGCAGACTTCAATCAGAGCTAGAAAATCACGAATAGGAGAAGGATTTAATCAACATCCTGACCTTAAACTCAGACATTACATCATTCAGTTGGCTCCTAGACAATTTGAACATATGTAGCATTAAAGAATCTACTCCAGATTGACTGAATGAGCTGCCAGTCTGAGCAGCTCCAAGAGCTCCTGCCATAAAAGCTGCAGCAGTCATAGCTACTGACATATCCGATTTTCTATTAGGTTTACTTGAATACGGTCCCCACGTATCCATCCCCCTTGTAGAATCCTCCATTATTTGAAGTGAAGCAGATATATCCGATCTTCATTTAATACTAATTAATGCACAAAAGGATCAAAGACTTCATGAGATGATGACAAAGGATGAGCTAGGTTGCTCATACATTAAAGTTGTCAGAGCATGATCCACAAGCAATAGCATTCTAGTCTGCAAAGCATGAGACCAAGGAGTAAATGCACAGTCAATGCAGGCCTATTAGTGGCACTAGAGAAATATGTTATCGAAGAAATTAACAAATAAACAAAGAAAGAAGCTGAAATATATAACCACTACTACAAAAATATGCAAGTACAATGCTTGCCTATTCCAACCCGAGTGCCAACAATCAACTCAGAGAAGCCTATATTCCATTCTTCAAAAGGTAGAAGAGGCTTATTCTGATAGCTAAGGGTGATCTACTTCCCTCGCTCCCTCACACAACACACATGAACCTTCATTTGCTTAGGTTTACTTGAATATGGTCCCCAAGTATCCATCCCTCTGTAGAATCCTCCATTGGCTGAAGTGAAGCAGATATATCCGATCTTCATTTAATGCTAACTAATGCACAAAAGGATCAAAGACTTCATGAGATGATGACAAAGGATGAGCTAGGTTGCTCGTACATTAAAGTTGGCAGAGCATGATCCACCAGCCATAGCATTCTAGTCTACAAAGCATGAGACGAAGGAGCAAATCTGCAGTCAATGCACGCCTATTAGTGGCACTAAAGAAATATGTTAATGAAGAACTTAACAAATAAACAAAGAAAGAAGCTGGAATATATAAGCACTACTATAAAAATGTGGAAGTTCAATGCTTACCTATTCCGACTCATCAACTTTGAGAAGTCTATATTTTATTCTTCAAAAGGTAGAAGAGGCTTATTCTGATAGCTAAGGGTGATCTACTTCCCTCGCTCCCTCATACAACACATATGAACCTTCATTTGCTTAGGTTTACTTGAATACGGTCCCCAAGTATCCATCCCCCTGTAGAATCCTCCATTGGCTGAAGTGAATCAGATATATCCGATCTTCATTTAATGCTAATTAACGCACAAAAGGATCAAGGACTTCATGAGATGATGACAAAGGATGAGCTAGGTTGCTCATACATTAAAGTTGGCAGATCATGATCCACCAGCAATAGCATTCTAGTCTACAAAGCATGAGACCAAGGAGCAAATGCGCAGTCAATACATGCCTATTAGTGGTAATAAAGAAATATGTTATCGAAGAACTTAACAAATAAACAAAGAAAGAAGCTGAAATATATAAGCACTACTACAAAAATGTGCAAGTACAATGCTTACCTATTCCAACTAGAGTGCCAACAATCAACTCTGAGAAGTCTATATTCCATTCTTCAAAAGGTAGAAGAGGCTTATTCTGATAGCTAAGGGAGATCTACTTCCCTCGCTCCCTCATACAACACATATGAACCTTCATTTGCTTAGGTTTACTTGAATACGGTCCCCAAGTATCCATGCCTCTGTAGAATCCTCCATTGGCTGAAGTGAAGAAGATATATCCAATCTTCATTTAATGCTAATTAACGCACAAAAGGATCAAAGACTTCATGAGATGATGACAAAGGATGAGCTAGGTTGCTCGTACATTAAAGTTGGCAGAGCATGATCCACCAGCCATAGCATTCTAGTCTACAAAGCATGAGACCAAGGAGCAAATGTGCAGTCAATGCAGGCCTATTAGTGGCACTAAAAAAATATGTTGTCGCAGAACTTAACAAATAAACAAAGAAAGAAGCTGAAATATATAAGCACTACTACAAAAATGTGAAAGTTCAATGCTTACCTATTCCGACTCATCAACTTTGAGAAGTCTATATTTTATTTTTCAAAAGGTAGAAGAGGCTTATTCTGATAGCTAAGGGTGATCTACTTCCCTCGCTCCCTCATACAACACATATGAACCTTCATTTGCTTAGGTTTACTTGAATACGGTCCCCAAGTACCCACCCCCTGTAGAATCCTCCATTGGCTGAAGTGAATCAGATATATCTGATCTTCATTTAATGCTAATTAACGCCCAAAAGGATCAAGGACTTCATAAGATGATGACAAAGGATGAGCTAGGTTGCTCATACATTAAAGTTGGCAGAGCATGATCCACCAGCAATAGCATTCTAGTCTACAAAGCATGAGACCAAGGAGCAAATGTGCAGTCAATACAGGCCTATCAGTGGCAATAAAGAAATATGTTATCGAAAAACTTAACAAATAAACAAAGAAAGAAGCTGAAATATATAAGCACTACTACAAAAATGTGCAAGTACAATGCTTACCTATTCCAACTCGAGTGCCAACAGTCAACTCTGAGAAGTCTATATTCCATTCTTCAAAAGGTAGAAGAGGCTTATTCTGATACATATGTGATTCTAGAATCCTGTTCCAGGTTGCAAACAATTCATTATTCGTCCTGTCCGGCCCACTACTTTTTGGAGCCTGCCTCCTCAACCCATGGGGAGATGAGGGTAATGACATTGCCTTCTGCGAATTGATATCCTTTTTCAGCAGCATTACCGAATGAAACAAAGTTTCCCTTACTTACTCAACAGCAAAAATATACCTCCACAAACATTAAACACAAGAAAGGAAAGGAGACAAATATTTGACAAAAATTCCATTAACAACATTATTTCAAACAATTCCAACAGCTTTTTGAAAATTCAATTCATTTAACTATATTCAAATTTTAACTGTTTTTCAAATTCAAATTTTAACGCTTGATGCAGAGTCTTCTATCAAACTTAACTTTTCACTTATCACTTGTATATTTTCCTTCACAATTACTAAAACAATACAAAGGTCCAAATTCATTGTTCAGTCAAACACAAAAAGTTTTAAAACGTACTCGTATATATGTCAACTCATACAAAGCATATGCGGCAGATTTGTTAATGGTAACCACCGGCGGAACTCGAAGTGTTCGTATTAGTGCTTGAGTTATCTTCCACTTCAACTACAATAAACCCAATTTAATAAACATAAAATCACACTGCTATAAGAATCTTACCATGCAGCCCTTAAAATAAACACACACTAAGAATAATCAACAATTCAGGATTGAATAAAGGACCTCAGAATATCCAACTGTCAACAGCAACAAAAGTTTTAATTTAAATAAATTTTTATGAACAACAACATAAAAAATGACCTCTATGACTACACTCTTTTCTACCAGCTCTTCTTTATCGTGCTAACAATGGAGATAGATTTCATGTCAAGATTAAAATATCTGATATTTTAAAAGCAGATAAACTGAAATATTCAGAAATAGAAGTTTACCTACACTGTAGCCGTATTGTCGAAGAAGTTGCGCATAATAAGTTTCATACTAAAGATATTATCAGGAATTCATGTATCTCCCATCACCGAGTTTCGATTCCAAAGAGTACGACGGCATTTTCCCCTGCACCACGGATTTTATGATCTCCTCGTCTTCCTCAAAGGCTGCTGGTGTAACCAACGGCGTAGGTTTTTCAAACATAGCTGCGACCTTGGCGGGTTGCAGTGGCACTATTGGGACAATTTGTCGAGCAGGTGGTGGTGGAACAGTAGTACTGCAGCCAAGAGTAGTGGCAGGTCCACGATGACTATCTTCTTTCCAAAAGAAATTATTCATCGTTTTCATCCTCAACATCCTAAGAATCATCATTGTTTCCCTGGAAACGAACGACTGAACAAACCCGATAAGTTCATCTTTTGCATAAGCGATAAGTTTTGCTTGAATTCTTGATAGAAGAAGGAACTTTAGAATTGAAGAACATATAGATGAGGAAGAAATATAAACTCCTCTACGGTTTTGCAGTTAATTCCCAGTAAGAGTAGTTGATAATAAGTATAAGATACGTGGGGATAAAGGAAAAGAACCAAATGATTCAATTCACAAAAGATAATCAATCAACAAAAGAGGAATCAAACCCAACCCCCAAAGATGTCACCCCCGAAAACAAGAACACTATCAATCACTCGCACGTCAAACAACCAACAACGAATGATCAAGATCCCAAATGTTACATCGAAAGAGCCATCTGATGATCCGGATTTTAGAAGTGAACCACAATCAGAAGG